TCTTCCCCTAAAATAACCCACATCTGAGCATCGGGAAAGCCGAGGTGTCCGAAACAGGGAGCTGCAGCAGCTACCTGGAAGAGACACTCAGCGTGAGGAATAGCAGCATCTGCCTTTTGTGTTTCACTGGTAAAGGAGTGGAGAAAAATACCACCATCTGTTTATTTTTTTAAATGATAATTGATGGGTTGCCCTAGACATTTTGAGTAAATATTTAACCAGAAAAAACGGAAATAATTTTTAGCTTTTTAGGATACTATTTAAAACCAACGGTTTTTGAAAGACTGGGTGTCTGTGCACTGAGCCCTGCAGTTTCCTAAACCAGTCAGCGCTGGGGCAGGAGAGGGTTGGTGCAGGCTTGGCTGGGGTCCCAGCTAAGGCCATGTGTATCAGGCATGCAGATGTGCCCATGGGGACCTCTGCTGAGAGCACCTTCCCCAGGGGGGCGGGAGAGGAGGAGAACCTGGATCCTCTCCAGGCAACGAAAATCCCACTGTGGTTCAGGTGAGGGAGCCAGACTAGGGGTGAAATGAGAAAGGGTGAGAGGACGGCCGTGCCAAAAGAGAGAATCATGCAGAAACAAGATGGTGGGGAAGTTTGTGGCGTTTTTGAGTGCCAAGTGTTCAGAGTCACCAGCCAGTACCCAGAAGCTCACAGGCGCTTCCCTCCCTCCAACTTACACAGCAGACAGCTATTTCTGCCTTGGGAAAGCAGTTTCTATGGCATCAGTACAAACTGATTTACAGAGCTCGTGAAATGCTTAATTCCAGTTGGCATCAAGAGGAGGGAGGCATGCAACCTCTTCACGTGCTGTTCTCGGTCTCCCAGCTCTCCACTTTCATGTCTGTGAGCCTGAATACCCCTCGTTCACCTTGCCCAGCATGGTGAGATGGCTTCTTTAAATCACACAAGCCTTGTCCTTTCCTTGTAGTATTGTCCTTGAGAGTATAGTACAGTTTCTCCTTTTTTTCTTTTTACCTGGTCCAGTCAGGATGTCCACATTATTCTTTCCCAGCCTTCACATATGATCTAATCCTCTGCTATGAGATTCTGTGTGATAGCAAACGGAGAGGAGCTGCAGAAATAAGGTTAGGTGCCTGTGGTCCTGCTGATGAAGTTTCACCTGGAGGACACCACTGGGTTCAGTAGCTGAGTTTGTACCGTGGGTATAAAGCAGAGACTGTGGTGGTACTGGGGGGTAGCTCAGGGCTCCGTACACAGCAGCACTATAAGGACATGTACAGATTTTTTTTACAATGAGAGTGGTGAAACACTGGCGCAGGTTGCCCAGAGAGGTGGTCGATGTCCCATCCCTGGAAACACTCAAGGTCAGGTTGGATGGGGCCCTGAGCAACCTGATCTAGTTGAAGATGTCTCTGCTTGTTGCAGGGGGGTTGGACTAGATGACTGTCAAAGGTCCCTTCCAACCATTCTATGATTCTATAATCACTACAGATGTGCAGGCAGCTGTGTAAGAGTGGCTGCTCCATTTCGCAGCCTGAGACAGAGAAATCAAGAGCCTTGCCTAAATCTACGCAGGAATGGACCCTGGGAGGCCCTCTCTGCTGTCTCTTTGCAGTCTGAAGGTGTGTGTTTGTGGATGGCCCAGACCAAGAGGCTGGGTCCAAGGGAAAGTGTGATCAAGGCTGGAAACCTAAAGAGTTCTTTGGACTGAATGGTAGGAGAAGGAAAATGTCAAGGCTTGAATATATTATAGTGAATGATAACTAGAAGATGCTGATCAGCAAATGGATCGAGAATAGATAATGGGTTAGATTAAAACTATTATTCCAAGTTTGAAAAACGTGGGGCTAGCCTATATATCTTCCTTTTTCTAGGTCCTTCTCCACTGACTTTTCTGGCCTGGCTCCTTGTATATGGTCTCATCCTCCTTTTCTTTTATGCAAAGCTGCGTAGGTAGGCAAAGGCCCCTTTCTCTCAAACACCTGTATAATCTCACAGGTCAGTCTTCCAGAACTGCTTCGTCCATCATGATTTTTGAGTTATGTGCTATTCTAAAAAATTCCCAAATCTGTTTCCTCCACGTGTTCTATCTTGATAGGGGGCACAATTGGGTGAGAACAGGACTAACACAGCTTTTCTGCTTACTTGCTCCCACAGAGTTATTAGTCGAGCCCAAGGACTGAAGCTGGTGGTGGAGACTCTCATGTCATCCTTGAAGCCCATCGGGAACATCGTGGTCATCTGCTGTGCCTTTTTCATAATCTTTGGGATCCTGGGAGTTCAGGTGAGTCCCCTGCAATCCTCAGCACCTCAGCAAAAAGCGTAACGAGCCCCAGACTGCCCACCATCTGGGTACCTGTACCAGTGGGCACGCTATAAGCCTTTCTGAAACCAAACCAATGGGCTGTTTGGCCTTCTTGAGGAACGCTCCTTGCTCCTGGTGAGGAGGGAGCAGATTTCCCATTATCGGTCAACCATTGAAACCACATTAACAATTACAGCCTAACAACAGTGGCCCAGCAACACACATCCCTAGCCATAGCTGAAGAAGCAATGGTCAGAGCCAGTTAGTGGGGTTGGTTTTGCCTCTCTCTGGTTTGAGGTCCTCTGCTCTGCTGGCAATATCCTCAGTCCCAGGAGTGCAGGAACCCAGGGGAAAAGTGGCAAAGTTTCCAATGCAATTGGTTTCTCAATACCTGAGAAGAAGAGATTGTTTCATATAAATATTCTGACATAACACTTACTTCTTGCTGAAGTTTGTCTGATCTGTCAGAGCCAGCTTTGGAAAGCAGCTCTTTTTGGCTTTGTTTTGGAAAGGTGTCTTATGCAATATTTTATACTAATAAACTGTTTAAATAATAGGTACAGCACTGAAAATAAAAAGAGAATAAAATCATGCCATCCATCAGCAGCTAGACTGGCTTAGCATTACAGTACAACAACATCCATCCATTACACTAAACAGATTCATAAAACTAAGCATATCTCATGGAACAATATAAAACTCAGACACGGGAAAATTTATGCCAAACAACAAAACTTGCAGCACGCTCTTTGAATTTCCTCCCTGCTAATTGTGATTGCTTTCCCTAGTGACTTGCAGTCTTACATTAAATTGTCATGACTATTGATGTGCTTAAGTGGTAGATACAAGCAAGACTGATCCTGTATGCAGGATGCAAAATTTGTAGTTAATATTTATGTCTAATTAGGTGTAAGATGAGGGCCATAGCTATTTTCTATAAAAAGATGATCTCTCAAAGTTAGTTGGCTTTACCATGTAAATAGAACCTGGGGATCAAACTAGAGGTTTTTATTGCTGTTGAAATCTGCACGCCCACATTTCTAACAGTGTTTCCTCTTAGCAAGACTGTTGTTGTTGTAGAGCTTGCCCACATGTGAATAGTCATTAATAAGACACAAGAAATAGATAGATAGAACGGGTACCATAGGAAACACTGTGTCTTTCACTTCCCGAAGTGCTGAAATCTGAAGTACTGACAGGGATCAGCGTTTTTGTAAACTGGGCTTTGTATTTCCAAACCCCGTTAGTAGTGGCGTTACTGCTCCCATCTGAGTGGCATTACAGTCCAGCTCCTGCAGAAGTTATGTTTATCGACAGTATATTAAAAATAGTTGTTTACCTTCCTGCTTAATTAAAACTTTTCTCTGTGAAGGCTCTGTCTCCCCAGTCAGCCTCACCTGCGGATAGTGTTTCTGCATGGGAAGGTCAGGGAATACTTCTCTTCTTACACCCAGAAGTTTTATGGCTGCGTTGAGTGATGATTAATTTTGCATGCCTAGAAAACACCCTTCTGCTGTTGATTTCTGAAGGAAACCCGTGGAGTAATGCATGGGTTTATCTTGCTCGCTATTATTTCTACTGATATTTGTCTAGAACAACAGATCAAAACCCGTCAGTGTCTTTTCTCCGTATACCCAGGTGGTGGTTTAAGGAGCCTGGAGAGCAGGTTGCCATTTTCCCCCCAAAACAGTGATGTCAATAGCTTCTGTCAGCAAATCAAACCAGAATTGTTGAAAGTCTCCTGGGCTCTGATACCATCCATCCTGCTAGCATCAATCACCCTGTCTGAAGCAGTAATCATCCCCTGCCACTCTCTGTTCTGTGCGCAGGAAGCACCAGGTCTAGAATTAAGCGTGTGGAGGCTCGTGTTCCTCGTGTGGGTGTAAATCAGGAGCTGACTCCCCAGGAGTTGCATCTCTCCTGGCTTACACCAAGGGAAATGAGCTCGAGATCAGGTACCCAGCAGCAGTTGGGCTTGAGTCCTTAAGCTCTGCACAAGGAATATTTTCAGAGGCCCCTGCACAGACTGCAGAGCCTAATGGCGGCCAGAGAACAACATTCAGGGTCGGAGCCCAGAGCTGGACTGACAGCAGTCTTGATTCAGCAAGAGCCCAACGTCACTCGCAGCAGCTTGGCTCCTCTGATGTGTCCCCGTGTGACTTCTAAGAGCAGAGCTTAGTCCACCGCTGCACCTCTTCAGTGCCGCCTTTTCTCTGCTGACAGAGGACCCTCATTACACTTAATTTGTTGGAGACTTTTGAAACCGGCTTCGTTAGCTGGGCTGGAGTCACCAGAGTCATTCCGCGTGTGGTGAGAAGCCATTAGCTGGTCTGGGCTATTAGCTGGGGCTACACTTCAGCTGGTGACCCAGAAGCAAAGGCCTTTAGGCCAGTCTCAGATCACTGAACCAGACAACCTAATGCATGAGGTGGGTGTCCTAAATGATGTGAAATCATGCATTTGCTCACCAGGTGCATATTATACAGGCTGCTCGCACTTAATAACCTGCACAAACGAGGCCATTTCCCTTAAATTCTCTGGTCAGCGTGGGCTGTGCAGAATACCCCATCTGCAGAGAAATCCTGCAGACTGAACCCTTACAGTTCCTCTCTTCTTTGCGTGTTTTGCAGCTTTTCAAAGGCAAGTTTTTTGTCTGCCAGGGGGAGGACACCAGAAACATCACAAATAAATCGGATTGTACAGAAGCAAGCTACAAATGGGTCCGGCACAAGTATAATTTTGATAATCTCGGCCAGGTATTAATAGAATGGTAATCTGCTTCTTTGCTCCTTTACTTCCTTGACTTAAAACCTGTGCATTATTGTCCCATGGGATTTTCTTCCAGGGTCTTACCAGTCGCAGTAAATATTCGGTTCACATACGCAGCATTCTGTCTCTAAATCCCAAAGGCAGTGTTTCCAAGCAGGCATACACTTCTTTGCAGAGCAGAACAAGCACATGTGGCTTCGTGGAGTACTTAATTGCTTCACTGCTACATAACAAACCAAATATATCTTGCAGAAGGGCTTGTCTAATAGAGCTGGACACTTTCAACTGTCTCTGCAACACAGCCTTATTTTAGCTGCATGGTAAGGACTAATTAGTTGGGAGCAGTAGAGACCTGGAGGGTGGAAATGAAGCTGCTTTTGTCTTCAACTTTGTGGTTTCCGAATTAGCACTCATTGCCAAACCAGGTGCTGACATTGATAGGATTTTGCTGCCAGGAGAAACCTTGGACATCAAAGTGTCCCGTTATCAGACAGGTAATGATAATCCCCAGACAGGAAAGGGCAAAGAGGGGTAAAATGTTAAACGTAAAAAAGCTTTAATGCAACTATGTCTAACTTTTTTTCCACATATTTCTAGGCCCTGATGTCTCTCTTTGTTCTGGCCTCCAAGGACGGGTGGGTGGATATCATGTATGATGGCTTAGATGCTGTAGGAGTTGACCAGCAGGTACGTCCTTTAGCAGAGCCGTAAGAACTGAGTTGTCGAAGGTGGCACGTTTTTGCTCTTGTTTTGCAAAATACTGTTGCCCTCCACAGTCAAACGGGGCTGAGGGGTTGGGATCGAGGCAGCCGTTTAACCCAAATCCTGGGGTGTGACAAGGAGTCACGTGAAAAGTCTGGATTTGGACCTAAACTTTTCCCTGCAGATTTTGCAGCATGACTGGTGTAACTAGCCTCAGGAGAACCACACCTATCAAAGAATGGTTTGACTTTTTAAGCAATTTGGACGTTTCAGGAGAAAGAAGTGCTAGGTGTAGGCACAGGTTTTCAGTTAGGGGCTTAGAACAGCTGCAAAGGATGCTACTGTCCTGCTGTTGGCGGAACAGAGGTGGTTCTTCTGTCCTCAACGTGCTTTGTGTTTTGGGAGCATTCAGTCAAAATGGCTCAGAGGTCTCTAGTTTTCAAGAAGTTCACACCAAGCTGCCTCAAAGGGGCACTCATGGGTTTGTGGAGGTGGCAGCTGCATCAGTTTGCTCCCTTGTTTTTGTTTGTTTTTTCTGAGGTTCAGTTGACATTTGCCTTCCTCCACTTTGCAGCCAGTCATGAACTACAACCCATGGATGCTCCTCTACTTCATCTCCTTCCTGCTCATCGTGGCCTTCTTTGTCCTCAACATGTTCGTGGGTGTGGTGGTGGAGAATTTCCACAAATGTCGGCAGCACCAGGAGGAGGAAGAAGCCAAGAGGCGGGAGGAGAAGAGGCTTCGCCGGCTGGAGAAAAAGAGAAGGAGTAAGGAGAAACAGATGGCTGGTCGGTAGTCTTTCCACATCTTTCTGAGTCCTGCTTGACCTTCCACACGATCCCCTCCTCCCTCCCCTCCCCGCCTCGCGTCTGGTGATCATTCTTCTCCCAAAAGCATGTCCAGCTATAAAATTTGCATGAAGGAAATAGCGTTGTTTTAGGCTGAGCAAGGAGCCATGGAAGCCTTTTTAATGGCTGCATGATTTGCAATGACCTTTCCATTGGAGGTTATTTAAATTAAAATATAATAATGATCAGATCTGGAGCTTCTTGGATAGCAGAGCTCAGTGTTACACAAATAGTGACAACTGCAAAGATCAGCAGTGCCGAATGGCACCATAAATCTTCTGAGTCATGAGCACTGTTGCTGATAACTGGATTCACTATTTGGTTTATTACAGCCTTGTAATGCCACAGTGATGCTACCTGTCCCATTTATCAAGCAGGTTTATTTATTGGCACAGTAGCACCACTGCTATTCAAGAGTGTAATAAAATAATGGAGCCATCTCATTCTAGTAATGCTTAAAAACTCCTTAGAGAAACATATCAATGCATTTGCTTGAGAAATACAGATTAGAAAAAAACAAAAAAAAACCACCCCACAACAGTTGAGGAGAATAACCAACTAGACGAAACAGCACTGATGCAAATTGAACCAGACTCCAGACTGGATGTGCAGGCTTGCAGCCCTGCCTAGAGAAAGCTTTACAGCTGAAAGGAGGCTAGACCTCCACTCTGCCAAAAGTCTCCAGCCTGATGTTTGTCTTTTAGTCTTTTTTTCTTTTAATCTGAATAACTAAGAAGTCAGTCAGCCAGAGGCCATAGGTCAGAGGGACTCTTCTCGCATGCTCTCTCTTCTGACTGAACTTGCTCCGTTGCCCTTCGTGTCTGTGGCCTCACGCTTTCCCTCCTGGTCAGTCCGCCTGCTGCTCTCTCCATTTCCCCTTTCACATCTCTTCTCTATCTTTGACAGACTTCAGTACCGCTTAAGAGGCTGTCTGATCAGGGGCGTGTTCCAAAAGCTGGTAATATTAAGTCTGTTTTGATATTTTTAATAGTCTAAGAGGTGTTTAATAGCTGTGACAGGCTTAACCGTGCAACCACATACCACAGCGGTGCCTCAGCCTCCTTCAGTTCAGCGCTCAGCCAGCACTGTCATCAGGCATTGAAGTCCCATGAGCTTCACAGGTTTTGTAACCAATAGGATGTATCACACCAGCCTCTGGACGTCAAACTTTGGTTTATGCCAAGAGCCTGGCTTCCTTGATGGTCAGTGGAAATATGGAGGCTTCCCTCAAGAGCAGTGGAGGACACGTTAGACTGTTCTCAGTTAAGTGGGATACAGGTGGAAAGAATATTTATTATTTTTTTTTCACCTCAAGGAAATGCCTAGAGAGCTCTTTCAATCAGTCCAAGTTCCCAAACACAGTTTCAGGCTGATGAGTTAGAAAATGTTTTTAAAGGCTGGATAGAAAGATCCCAATTTAAAGTCGCAGTTTTGGAAAGCAGATATTTCTGTAGAAGAAAAATAGATGTTTAGTTATTATTAATGACCTTATTTATAATGCTAGAGGAACTAGATGAAGAAAAGATGTAAGTCCAGGCAATTTCCCAACGGGAAGAAATCACAAACCATCCTTGGAGATGTAGTTATTCATTCAGTCCTATGAAATGCCTAATTAAAGAGGCAATAAACAGCTATTTTACTGAGGATCAAATATTGCTGAGTATTCAATCACCATAAAAACCGTTCAAGAGCAAAGTATGAAGCCCTCCAAATCACTTCAGAACAGTTTTCTCAATTCACATTCAGTGAAATGTTGGTTTTAATTGACCATGTCCAGCTTTGCCCTCAGAGGCATCAGATATCATTGCTTAGCTTCATTCTGCATGGTGGGAACTTGCAGATGATACCAAGACCAGGGCTTGGATTATGCCAGCAACTGCATGGGGGCTTCTTTCAGCTGAGCTTCCCGAGTGTCCCCAGATGCCCAAACCGACCTATGGATGTCAGATGTAGACGGGTGTAGACATCTAACTGGTTGCACAGTCATTTCTGATTGTAGACTCTTCAAATGCATTTACCCTGTCAGACATCTGAAAACCAGAAAAGCACGTGAGATGCCAGCTTGGTGAGATGTAGGCAGATGCAGGAGCTGTTGCTGTAAAGTGCGCTGGCCAAGCAGGATACATACAAAGTCCGTCCTTTGGAAGTGTCTACTCCTTCATCATCATCAAGCAAGGGGCTTCTCAGGGATCTCTTGGGCTTCCCCCTGTGTACGTGGGAGAAGCCCAAGAGCACTTCCTTTTTCACGATGAACCTGTGTACCTGAGCCTACCCTCCATGAGGCACAAGGAGAGGATCCTGCAAGGAAACATTCCTGGTAAAGCCAACAGAGAGCCTGAGAGCTGTAGGGACCTCTGAAGGGGAAGGGAAGTCTTGCCGTGTGTCCTGCCGGGTGATTAACACCATTTCGTTCTTTTAGATCTAATGCTGGATGATGTATTAATGGAGAGCTCAGCCAGTGCAGTGCAAGGTACTGGGAAGTCGGCACGTCTCGTCCCACTTGAATGGCAGTGCTGTGTCACTAACGGCTGGCCACCGCTGCTGTGAGGCATCCCACTAAACCCTGTGTGTGGTGCAAAGCTCGTTTGCTTACTTCATGGCACACGCATATCATTCTGAAGCGCAGGTCTGCAGACCTGGCTCAGGACTGACACTTGCAAACCCTTAATTTATCCCTTGATCATGTTATGTTTTTCAGTTTTTTTGTTTTTGTTTTTTCTTAGAGGATAGTGATTGGACTGTGAAATGGTTTGTATTTTTACTCTAGCTTTCCAACCACCAGCTTAGGAGTCTCGGAATAATTTGCAGGAGTGTCTCTTGGAGGCAGGCAATCTCGCTTAGGGAGGTTATTTCATTACTTCCCCAACCCTTGCTCCTTGCTCCACAAACACCGTGCTTCAGGGAGGCACAGTGGTTTTTTCAGCAGGGTAAAGCTCAGTAGAACGCAGAGCTTCGGTGCTTTAATGGAGGGATCAACCCCACATCAACCCGCAGCGTCGGCGTGGTGTTTAGCTGTTCTGCTGCCCAGTTTGTAAATCCTTTGCATTGACTGAGAGTCACTTGATCCATGAGACATCTTGTGAATTAAAAGAAATTAAGATGCCACCTCAAAGCCTTTCCATGTCCTGGAGGGGACGGGCCAGCTGGGCTGAACACTGCTGGGGAGTTGACCTGGCCACCCCGACCAGGGCTCGCTCACATCTCCTTTTCCCAGTCCGCCTCGCCAGGACAATGCTCAGGGCTGCGAATCGGTCCCTTGCTCTTTTTATTTTTAGGAGAAGCTTTGATCTGGCAAGCATTTTGTTTAATTCATAACTTAAGAATATTAGCCAGAATAATTAAAGAGGCACCAACATAGAAACAAATATAGCTGTAATTTTCGACAAAAATAATATGCTAGGAAAACCGTGCTATTGAAACTCTCACCTGTGAACAAGCTCCCACTGCCTGAGATGGGAGCAGGGCTCCATCCATCTCTCGCATATCACAGGGAGTTTTGATTATGTAAAAATTGCAAGGTGAGGGAGATTGGCTTTCACTGCAGAGGAGAACTCAGGGAGACCGAGGTTCCTACCTTATACTTGTAAGGCCTCGTTGGAAGTTATCACAACATGCTTTAATAAACCCCGAATCTCCTTCCCATTGCCATTCCTGGTATTTTTATTTCTTTGCCTTCATTCTTGCTCTTCTTGCTAGGCCTCCTGTCCCCTTCTGCGAAACGGGGCAGCACGTGGGGGGGGGTTGTCGCTGGGTTTGTGGGGCTGCTTAGTTTTGCTTCTTTTTATCTGGTTATGACTCCTCTCCTGGTCCTCCAGAGCTAGATAAAGCCTGTCTTTATTTTATTTTATTTTATTTTATTTTTAAGGCATAAAATTCATTCCAAACCCCACCGTTATCCCACGCAGGCTCAGAAAGACTCTTAGAGTTTGCCTTGAAAACGTGTGCAATTGTCAGGTCTCTGCTTTGTGTTTCCTTTTGTTGTCTTTTCTTTGGAGCCAGTGGTAGTGAATCTGCCGTGCTGCTCTTCAGGCACCAGCGCGAGGGATTAGAAAGATTTTATTTCTGAACCTGCCTGTTGGGGGTATCAGGGAATCAGTCCCGGGTGCTGTGGATGAAACTCCTGTGGTTCAGTGAAAAATCTGGAGTTGTGACCCCAAAACTTCCACACATCTCTGCACTTAGAGGCCTTCTTTTCTCTTTCTTTGGAGATCAGATGGAATATTGTGTGTGTGTGTGTGTGCTGCTGCCTGGTACTTAGTGAGATATTATAATTTTGTTTTTTTCCTTTTTTTTGGGGGTCTACATTCTATCATAACTGGAATCTTCTCAGTAGAAATAATTTATCATTTTCTTCCATTTTGCTTTTTTTTTTTTAATAAATTCATTCAGTACAATAAAAGCCAAGTAAAATGCTGTCTTTAAATAAAAAAGTTCCTTCAGTGCAAACTACTTTTTAACCTAATAATATTCTTGATACAGTTTGTAAATCCAGCTGCGTCACAGGTTCCTTGCTCAGTAGTTTGCCGCTGTCCTCCAGATATACTCAGACCTGCAAAGTAGTTCATTCCCTTATTATGGGAGAAGGAAGGAGCTGGAGGAGACAGTAATGGAATTGTCCCACTCTCGTGAATTCCAATTTCCTGTGCCCACGCACCTCCGGCTCGAAAGCCACCTTGGGGAAAGTGGCAATTTCTCTCTTGACAGGGCTATATTTGGAGGCAGCCGCGATTCGGAGATATTTCAGAGCTGCATGCCCAGCCCCATTCCCCCCAGGAAAACGCAGCGAATGGGAAGAGTGGCCCCATGTCCTGCGGTGCTGGCAGAGCCCGGCCGAGCCCTGGGACCCGCGGGGAGGTGGCAGTGGCACTGCCTGGCAAAGCTACGGGTGCCTCCAGCGCTGCTTTGCTGGTCACCAGTGCCACTTCACGGTCTCGTCCTAGCGCTGTCAGACCAACAGCAGCATGGGGCTTAATGCTCCAAACCTGGGTGTGATGGCCAAAGGGAGAAGTTAGAGCAGGCTTAGGAATAGGAGATGTTTATCGTGCAACAGGAATAGTCACTGCCTTTCCAAAGGGACAGGAGGGCGACGAGCTTGGGTACTCCAGGACAGAGGTTGGAGCTGCCTGGGGCTGCCGGGCTCTGCCTCCCAGCCCCTATCAAGGGGATCAGTTATAATCCTGCAGAATGATGCCAAGAGGAGTGCAGAATATCTGCTTGGGAAACAACTTGAGAGCCCATAAAAATGATAAATTAAAACCGAGTGCCCCCGCTGCCAGGCTCCTGCTCCCCTCGCTGGCGCAGACCCCTTAGACCACCATTGCCTGGGATGAGCGGGCAGGTGGGACTCTCCCAAGCCAGCTCTCAGACAGCTGCAAATATCTCCTTCCTACCTGGGTTAGGAGGAGATTGCTCAGGATCCACTGTCGGAGCTGATTTTCTCCAGTGTAACAATATCTAAATTTGAGCCACTTCTCCCTCTCCCCCCTGCTCCCCGGCCTCCAGCCATGGTGAAGCAGCTTGATTTACACCCTGTTTACCAGCCTGATGTCTCGTAGTGGGCTTTTGCTGTATTTCCCCATCTTCTCGCATTCTCATTCTGCCAGTTACTTCTTTTGTTGGTTTGCTCTCCTCCTCTTTTCTTTAACGCCACGTGTGCCGGGAAGCCAAGTTAACCTTTCCAGTAATAACCGAGACTAACCCAGAGCTCTTGTTGTTCTTGACACAGTGTATTGTAACAGTACAGTAATGTGGTGTTGTGTTAGTTGTGAAGTTCACCACCTGGAGCTTAACAGATGTCTGTATTTCCCAAGATGTTGGTATTGTTTAGATCTTTACTGCAATAATTAGAAATGATACTGTGTGATAGGGGGCATGGGCTTTGCACCTGGATAATTATCCACCAGCAACACTCCCCTCCTCTGCGGAACTGCGCAGGTCGGGTTAAATAAATGGCGTTTATGGAATAGCAAGAAAATGGTTTGTCTGTTCAGAAAGGTCCCTGCCCACCTAGACGCAGTAGGTGTTTATCTCTGGTCCTCGGACAGCATGCCAGCTTGCGCGTGGCTCGTCTCGCGGCGGTGGCTCCGTTGCACTGATACCCGCGGCCAGCAGCCAGAGCCGTTTGGCTGCGGGGGTGTGGGCTGGGAAAGGTGGAAAGGAGCTTTGGGAGGGGGAGAGGGGGGATGCGAAGGGGGAGAAGCCTTGGCAGAGACACGAGCAATTAGCAGCCCTGCTTCTAAGGTCATGCACTGGCTAATCCAGGTACAGGAGCCCTGCACAGGGGACATTTTACAGCCTTTCTCTAAATCCTCTCTCTGTTCTAACGGCGTCGGTGCTATTCTGTAGGATTTGGAATTACCTGTCAATCAAAGCTAAAGAAAAATTTGAATTCCAGTGTAATTATTCGTAAGTAAATCCACCGCAAGAAAAGGCAGAAACATTGACATTTTTCTTTTTAAATGTGAATTATACATAAACGTAGAAGTAAGTGATCCAGTTACGACGGTGTTTCTTTCTGAGATGATAAGTTGGTTCATAAAAATAGGTCCTGTTCCTAACCTAATTGTATTCAAACGTTTTAGTTAATTTGCTACTCATAATTTAGCATAATGTGATCGAGATATCTTGACTTTATGGAGATTTATGCAGATTCTGAGATATCTGACAAAGTCTTATGAGTGAGTCAGCAGCTACCAGTCTGCTTTTTGTAAGCACTCAATAGATTCAGCATGAAAATTCATTTTATAGACCTTTTCATTGATGTTGTGCTTTAGCACTCAGGTACACATCACCTAAAGCACACTGTGGATCAGAAAGTGAATATTAATACTGCCTTTCATTTGATGACACTGAAGCAGAATTTTGGGTGTTCCAAACCCCTACAGAATAAAACTGCTGAGTGATTTGTCTCTCTGGTCCCTGGGCTGTAAGGGAAGGGTCTGTCTCTATGGAAAAAACAAAACTTCTCTGATTCTTGAGCATGCTGTTATGAAGCAGGGAGCCCAGGAAACCATTAAATCTATGGATTTGATTGCAATGTTATTGGCTATTGACAAAGTGAATTCTATTTCCAGACAAAATTTAATCTGCTAAACTCAGTTTTCCCTGAGGGCAACCCAAACCTGTGCTTCGTGGCTTCATTCTGCCCAACTCTTTTGCTTGGAGTAATGTATCAAACTGTACATTTGCTCAGCAGCACTAAATATCAAGCCATGTAGTTCTTACAGCTCAATAATTTTCATAACCAGTTGATCATCTAATTATGAGACTAATATTACACTCTGACATATTCAAGACAGTCCTTTCCACTTCAATCTGCATTATAATGCCTCCTTGAAAATTGTACTGAATTATATACTCAGCCTTGGCATTTCTTCATTAGAGATTAGGTGAGTAAATGAGTTTATCTCTAGGAACATTCGGGGTCTAAAGAGCATGTGTCATCCCTGAGGCAGCCGAACACGGGAAGGAGTCGAACAGTGACATCTACGCTTTGATAAGCTTGTCTAAATGGAGGATCGTTATTTTCTAATCGCGAAGGCTGACTGATCAGTTTTGCTTGGTATTTTTTTGGATCGTTTTTCAGGGCTCTGACAGCCAAAGTGCTGAATTTTGTTCTCTCTCCAGTTTATTGCAAAGAACATAAGATGACTGAATTACTTCTCTTTCAAAGACCACCGCTAACTCAATGGTCTGTATTTTTAAGCCATTGTTAGTAAAATCTGTCCCCAACATCTGAGCTCTAATTGAGCTTTCAGATACTTTGGGAATTTTTAAGATCAACAGAAACAAAAATTGTTGTTTTAATTTAAATTTAATTTAAATTGCCCTACAGGGAAAACATTCTTTAGCAGCACAAGAGTCCCAGCTCACCTCATCCCTGATGCCATAAGGCTGAGTATAGCGCATGTCCCACGGAAGATGTTTAACGGATGTAAGATGACGGGAGCCCTGCCGTGTATTAAAAATGGTAACATGCCAGCAAGAAAAAAGGAAAAAAAAAAAAGACAGCATGTTGCTGTAATCGGTCTAGAATTTATCATCTTTGGAGTTGGAAAGTGAGGGTGCATTGACTTCAGAAAGACGCAGAGAAGTGACTTGACGTGCCTCTCCGCTCTCCTCCTCCCCGCTGCAGAAGCACAGTGTAAGCCCTACTATTCAGATTACTCCCGCTTCCGCCTCCTGATCCACCAGATGTGCACCAGCCACTACCTGGATTTGTTCATCACTGGAGTGATCGGCCTCAACGTGATCACCATGGCCATGGAGCATTACCAGCAGCCAAAGGTACTGGGGCAGAGAGGGGGGAAAAGCCGGTGGGGGGACGTGCTCAGCGTGGTGGGATGTGCTGATGGGCAGAGTTAAGGCCAGTTTTGCTGTTAAACCTCAAGGCCTGCCATTCACCATGCCCTTTGCCCCATGGAACCTGTACCTGTCCTTCATCTGGTTCAAACCATGGCTTTTGGCACTTGGATCCTGTTGCACCTCTCCCTTCTAGTTAAGTGCAAACAGACTGCTTTGAAAATGAGGATAGGAGTAGGTTGGTTTGGTTTGCCAGATGAGGTCATCACTGAAATCTTATGTTTGACTTGTTTTCCACCAAAAAAGGAGATAAAGGAAAAACAGTAATAGAATTCGTGAAATGTTTCTTTTTGCAAAGTTTCTTCTACATCCCCAGTGTCCTATAGGGCCCAATTTTCACAGGCACTGGATTTCGTCCTCATCTTTAAAATACATTTTGATATATTAATGCGCTAAGTTCCTGGGTCTTTGTCATACTCTGAAAATAAAAACAGCCTGTCCTGGGATGTCAAGTCTCTTGTGCATAAGAATGAAATGGAAATAGCTGTCTTTGCCATATAAATTGTACTGATTTTTATTAGCCACTTTCAGAATGAATAAATATAACACAGAATAGGAGGAAGTATTCTTTAAGACTAGACAGGACTTGAATACTTAATGTAAAAAACCCAAACAACTAAGACACGCGAGCGAGGAGAAAAATATTCTCCAGCCCATCATAAAGAAGCCAAAAAGTGAAAGGGCACAAGCCCAATTTATTTTTTTCTCTTCAGGTCACCTTGAAATACCCTGGAAGGCTCTTTGCGTGATTCCACCATTTGGTGATGAAAAAGGTTGTTGGCTAAGAAGCCTGTATTGGAATCACTCTAGGGTGTGCGTCTTACTGCAGTCATTTTGCAGCTACGTTTTCTCTTGTATTATAAAAATGTTGGGCAGGCTTTTGTTTTTAATTTTCTTCAGGAAAATAACATTTTGTCTCTAAGCCTCTGGTATGCAGCATCTGGGTAATAACTCCAGGCTTGGGCTTTGCTGAGATGACAGCACCGTTAGAGCCATGAACATGCTTGGGAGTCTTGCTGAATCAGGGCCCCGAGATCACTCTGCTCTGGGTGATGGATGGCTGGGATCCTGCAGGAATTCAAAAGGCCAGATGTACCAGAGAGCTTTATATCCAAATGAATGATTGCTCGGCATGTGGTGCTGAAAGGGGTTGGTGGTTGGATACCCCGGGATGCCCTGTGGATGAGATCCCAACAGAGATGCTGTGGCTGCCCACAGGCAGGAGGGGCTGCCGTGCGCATAGAGGTGCATCGAGCACAGAGCTACTGGACAAAATCTGCCTTTGCCAAATAAATATGCTCATTTGCTGCCAGAGCCCAGGTCCCCTGCAGTATGACAGGGAGGCTTGTTCAGATCTGTGGACACAGTTATTACCATCCCTTTTGATGGACATTACTGAAGAGGCCATGCAGGATGCTGCTACCACAGCGTTCCTTTACGAGCGGGACTCTGGGGATGAAATAATCTCTGACATGGCTTAATGCCTGACTCTGCGAGAGCTGTCCTAGCCAGGAGGCACCTGTAGTTAATGGCCAGGCTGTGACACCTGCAGAGGGAAGGGTTTGCAGAGGAAAACCCAAGGCTCGCTCTCCTGCTGGCATGCCATCCCTCTCTCCTGCTCCTTGCCAAAAGCTCAAGGTGAGCAGTAAATGACAGGCTGTCACAAAGAAGCCATTTGGCCAGCGCTTGCACGGTCCCGGCCAGCCCACAGCTCTTGCAGCAGTGCACAAATGAGCAAGTGGGATGAAATTCAGCTTTCTGCTGAGAGCACCAAGGCTTTTTGCGCTGCTGACACCTGGAGATGCAGCAGCGCTCACCACTCACCCTGGCCATCCCAGCTGGGGCTGTGTCACCACCGTGGGGTTTCAGTTGTGCCGTGGGCTTGTGTCAGCCCCTCCTGTGAATCACATTGGCTGGTTGGGGCCAGGCAGAAGCGTGGTCTGTGCACTCCCTGAAGTCCTGGGACTTTTCCCCGGGACATTTGTCATTGGAGAGAGCCCACGGTTGGAGCCTTTTGTCTGTAGTTTGGAAACGAGTAACTGGTGAAAGAGGAGGAGGGCAGGTTTGCAGGCAGCAAAGCCCCTCAGCAGAGCTAGCGTCTAACCTCGGTCCTGTGTCCACATCCCAGGTTCTCGATGAAGCCCTGAAGATTTGCAATTACATCTTCACCGTTATCTTTGTCCTGGAGTCTGTTTTCAAGCTTGTCGCCTTCGGGTTTCGCCGCTTCTTCCAAGACAGGTAACAAAAGCTCTGGCCTGTCCGTGGCGGCAACAGCAGATTTCTGGAGACAGCTGCCCAAATTCTGCGTCCTGGACCCCGATGCTTTTCCCAGTGATGTCAGTCTGACAAGTGTGAACACTTTTTTAGTGTGACTGATTGAAACCTGGGTAGGCGGAGGCTCGGGATGGGAGTTGGAGAAAGGATCGTGCATGCCAAGGAATGTGATTGCATGACTCTGGCCTTTGGGAGTGGACAAAATAGGAGCCAGGCTCACACCGAGCAGCTGGTTCTCTTCTCACAGCAGTTGTGTGTCCATGTAATCAAGAGGACCTGGTGAAGTGACAAAATTTATGCCGAAAGAAAGAATCTGGTCCTGAGTGGAAATGCAAGAGAAAAGGGACCGCTTTTTAAGCAGATGCCGAGCAGCAGATAAAATTGCTGCTTCTTCTAGATTGTCACTCTCTTAGCTCAGAAATACAGATTTTATGTCCTTGGTGAATCTTTCTCCTCCCATTTTTGACTCCTTCAATGGGAAAACCAAGACTGCTGGCACCAAGCAGGACTTGACACGATCCCTTCAGCAGCCGGGGATGGTTCCACCCCTCTCCCCATATTTCAGGTGTCTGTGCTGGGATTACGCCTCTCTCCGACCTGGCATGAATCCTTGGGGTCTTTTCTTCACCCAGTGTGATTTTTGTGCCAAGGACTGAACACAGGGTCCGATTCTTTCTAGTGCAGATCTCACGCTGAGGCCCACGAGTGCCATGTCTAGAAGTGCCCGGACAGATACCGCAGCATCTCCCCTGAGCTCTGCAGCCTCTGGGTAGAAAACTGCTCAGCTTTTG